TCGTCGATATGGTTGCGGCGGCATTCCTGTGGCGGCGGCGACCGGTGGTTTGTGGGCTGATCTCCGCCGGGACGCTGGTGTGTGTATGTGTGTGTGTATGTGTGTGTGTGTTTGAAATTGAGTTCGTATATGAGGGAGAGATAGGATTATAAAATAAAGTGTGGGTCCATGTGGTTTAAGTGTAATTACCAACTTACCCTTAATTATTGGTCAAATGCACATATTTGACCATAATAGTTGAAATAATTACTAGATTGCCATTAATGATTGACCATTATTTTTTTAAGTTTAACTTCATCATAATCATTGATGTGGTAGATCCAATGCTCCAAATTCATTCTTATTTCTTTCACTAGAAACCATTCTCATATGATCCTTTACCTATATATATATATATATATATATAAGCAACTAATAATGCATATATTTAATAAATTTCCAAAAATAATGTATGCATTAAATGCTCTCAAAATGTTTGACTACTATTTTTAGTAAAAGGTTTATTTTTTATTACATAGATATAGGTTATTATTATTATTATTATTATTATTATTATTATTATTATTATTATTATTATTATTATTATTATTATTATTATTATTATTATAATTATTATTATTTCTTAAAAAAATTGGGGTTGAATAATAAGTCCCAGGGTCCAAAAAATGATTTAGAAAATGGTGTCAAATGGGAATTGAACTGGTTTTGTGTTATTTGGAATATTTGAAATTTAAAGACTGTTCTTTTTTCATTACATGTGTTTATTTTAAAAGGTGGGGCTAAACCTGGATTTTTTAGGTGGTGTTGTTTTCAATGTCTTTCATACATGTGTACATTTGGGTTGCCAATAAAACTTTGTGGGATTTGGGGCTTGCAAGAGATGCATTTTCTATTTTAATGTTGATCCAGTTGGTACATCACAAATTATTAGATATATCAAGTGCAAAACTACACCTCTATCAACTGATTCAACTACTACTGATGAACATTCAACATGAACTATTAAATATTTGGTTGGAATTCAAATAGTTTTGTTAGACAATTTAAGGTTAAATTGTAACATATAGTCAGTATCTTGTACGCGGTGGCAATAATAGCCACAATCTTTACGAATTGACAATATTAATCAATAACTTTCAAAATTTAGAGATTATTACATAAATTCAACCAAATTCGAAAGATAAATTGCAACATATAGTCAGTATCTTTTTACACAGTGGCAACAATAGCCATCGAATTTAGTCGGACATGGGTAATAACTCCAAAATTTTGAAAGTTGTTGGCTAATATTGTCAATTCGTAAAGACGGTGGCTACTACTGCAATTGCGTACAAGATATTGAATATATTTTTGCATTTAAACCGACAATTTAATCATTACACGAGTTGTTCGCTATTTATTTTTATATCTGTAAGTGTACCACGTAGCTTTATGCAGTGACGAAATGTCGTATTACCCGTATATTCAATTAAATTAATTGTAATAAACAGGGGCAAACGTGTGCGGTCACACGCACGTGAACGCACCATAATAGGGTGAGCTCAGATAAAGCTCATAATAAGGTTCTATCCCTAAATTAATTGATGGAAGGAAATAGTCTATTGGGCTTATAATCACTCTAAAGTAACACTCGTCATCTTGGAAATTGCCACCAACAAAGAGAGGAAAATGATTGCAATACCTTCAAAGGAAGGAAAGATCAAAATTAATCCATGGAGAAAATAGAAAAAAAAATCAACGTATACATTATATTTTCCCCGAGAACGACGCATCATTCTGCTGTGTTGCACATCCTTCGCTATGTGAAGGGCATCTTATTGCATGGTTTACACTTCTCAGCCAGTTCTTCATTGTCCCTTAGCAGCTACTCTGATGCAGATTGGACTGGAGATCCTACCGATCGTCGCTCCACTACCGGGTATTGCTTCTTCTTAGGTGATTCACTTGTCTCTTGGCGCAGTAAGAAGCAAACCTTGGTTTCCCGTTCGAGTGTCGAGTCTGAGTATCGTGCTCTTGCTGATTCTACCGCAGAGCTATTATGGTTGCGTCGATTACTTGCTGATCTTGGTGTCCCTCAGTCATCCTCTACTGTTCTTCATTGTGATAACCAGAGCGCTGTCAAAATGTCTCATAATGATACGTTTCATGAGCGTACCAAACATATCGAGATTGATTGTCATTTTATTCGCCAGCATGTTACCCATGGGACTGTACGACTTGTTTCCGTCTCCTCTTCGGATCAGATAGCGGATGTCTTCACGAAGTCTCTCTTTCTCGGTCGCTTTTGTTTACTTCTTAGCAAACTCAAGTTGATATCTACTGTACCACCTTGAGTTTGAGGGAGATGTTAGAATATATTTTGTATATATGGTTATAATATATTTTGTAGAATTAGGTTTAGGCTCATTATGTTCCTATATATATGTGTACATGTCTTATGAATAGTATAGAACATATATTTTTCCCACTTTCTTACATATACATTATATTTTCCCCTTTTATTTGAACAAAAAAATATGACAAAATGCAACTCCCCACATATTGACAAATTTCCCTGCCCGCCACCTCACATGCCACTATACTATGTACACTAGACACACACCTTCCCTCACTCTGTCTCTCTCTTTATTATATATATATATATATGTATATATATTATATATACATATATATATATATATATATTTAAAACGGTGGGGGCCGAACCCCCACATGTATATAAAAGATGCTCTAAATTGGCTGAAAAGTCACAAGTCTAAAAATCCAGTGTCTGATATACATCAAGTTAAACGAGAAACAAAAAAATAACAAATCTTCGTCTGGGAAAGTCCTGGCGAAAATGTTAGCATCACGGTAGAGCAGATGCGCCAAACGGTAGGACCGGACACACAAATCTGAATGTATTACGGTATCCCCTCTGGAAATATTTATATATCAGCTCCCTCTTTCTTCATATTGTTCATTTATTAGTACCTTTAAGAGTAAAGTTCTCATCTTTCTTGGATTTTCTTTAATGAAAAAGTGAGTAACTGGCAGCTGCTTTTATGCATATTGTATGCTGGAGGAAAAGGGGGAAAACAAAAGGTGTTGTACAAGAGATTAAGATTTAAGGAGCCAACAGTTGGCTCCGTTATGGAACCAACAACCAATTGGACAACTCCATGTGGGGCTGTCCTGCATTAAAGTATTGTGGGACAGCCCCACCTAGAGTTGTCTCATTAGTTGTTGATTCCGTAGCGGAGCTAACTGTTGGCTCTTTAGCATTATTGTTAAGATTTAATAAGAAGAGCATAATAAGGTTTATTAATGTAAGCCATGATGTTGTGGGGGAATATAATCACAGATCTTGGCTCTCACATGTCCCTTTTATCATCTGTGCATGGAAAGAGAAATAGGAATTATTTTTAATAAGGGTACCACTTTTTAGTCTATAGTCCCTTTCTTTCCCTTGTGTCCCTTTTTTCTCACCCAATGCCCACAGCCCACCTTCTGATTCTTTCCATTTTGTTCCCCCCTTTTTAAGAACCAAGAAAGAAAGAGGGCACAAACCAACTAAACAAACGATGCAGTTCACCGAAAACAATCCTTCTTCCTTCATCCCAATCCCCCTCCCCACCAACCAAAACCAGGCGGCCACCTTCCTCGGCCGGGCCCGTCCCTGGCCCGGCCTCCCCACCCCGAAACCCTCGATCCCCAACTGCATGGAGCAACTCCTCGTCCACTGCGCAACCGCCGTCGACCGAAACGACACCACCTTAGCCCAGCAAATCCTGTGGGTCCTCAACAACATCGCCCCCCCCGACGGCGGCCCCACCCAGCGCCTCGCCTCTGCCTTCCTTCGCGCCCTCACCGCCCGCGCCGGTGGCCCCAACCTCCTCGCCGCCTCCCCCTCCCCTCCCCACACTTTCTCCGCCGTCGAGCTCGCCGCCTTCGTCGACCTCACCCCTTGGCACCGCTTCGGCTTCACCGCCGCCAACGCCGCCATTTCGGCCTCCACTGCCTGCGCCTGCTCGTCTCTCCACGTGGTCGACCTTAGCACTACCTTCTGCATGCAGATCCCGACCCTCATTGACGCTCTCTCATCCCACCCGCCGCCCCTTCTCCGGCTCACCGTGGCCGACACCTCCCGCTTCGTGACTCCACCAGCACTCGACCTTTCGTACGACGAGCTCGGAGCAAGGCTCGTCGGGTTCGCGCGGTCGAGAAACATGGCCATGGAGTTCACTTCCATCTGTACAAGGCCGTCGGATGGATTCTCGAACCTAATCGAGCACCTTCGCTTGCAGCAACATTCCGAGAATAAAGACGAGGCGCTCGTGATCAACTGTCACATGATGCTCCACTACACGCCGGACGAAACCCTAGCCGAGAGCGGCGGCGGGATTTCTTGCCGTACGGCATTTCTGAACGAAATTCGGAGCTTGAACCCGAGCCTAGTGGTGGTGGTGGACGAGGACGTGGATTTCACGTCGAACGATTTGGTGAGGCGGTTGAGGTCGGCGTACGATTACCTGTGGATACATTACGACGCAGTGGACACGTTGCTACCGGAAGGGAGCAAGCAGAGGGAATGGTACGAGGCTGACGTGTGCAGGAAGATCGAGGATGTGGTGGCGCGGGAGGGGACGAGGAGGGTGGAGAGAGTGGAGAGCAAGGGGAGGTGGGCACGGAGAATGAGGGCGGCGGGCTTCGTGGAAGTGGGGTTCGGGGAGGAGGCGGTGGCGGAGGTGAAAGGGATGCTGGAGGAGCACGCGGCCGGGTGGGGGCTCAAGAGGGAAGAGGACGGTCATCTGGTGCTGACGTGGAAGGGGCACAATGCGGTTTTTGCTACTGCTTGGGTGCCTGCTTAGTTAGCGCGCGGTTTTGAGTTATGTATTAGCTTTTGTTAGCATGAGATCAGTAGGTAGCATCTCAATTACGGTCAACGGCGGCAAGATGAAAAGAATGAAAAATCTAGAATCAAATATGCCTTGGTCACTAACGCCCCATTTTCCTATATATACATGTACTCAGACATTACCGAACAAGCGTTGAAAAAAAATAAAAAAAATAAATAAATCATTATATCAATTTAACTATTGTCTGCCATTAAGAATTTTCCCTAACAAGAAAAGTTAGAGATTTAGTCTTGTAATTGACACCCATTTTAAGGTTCAGACCCATTCGATAGTAACTGTTGAAACACATCTTGTAATTGCAAAAGAACTTGAATTTAGTCCTGTCAAGGGCAAATGCAGGTTACTTTTACCGGCTAACCTATGTAGAATTGTTACATGATTTTTTCTTTCTTTTTTTTTTGGCAAAATTACACAAAATAAATAAATAAATAAATAAATAAATAAATAAATAAATAAAAACAGAATAGATGGGGTTGCGAACGATGGACATTTCAAAAACCTTACGAGCCACGTGATCTAACACTACGTGTATAAAAAATTTGACTAACTCTTGAGGGAGAACTTTGCCGCCCTTGTGGTCCTACCCGGCTCGATTCCGGATTAGTCGGTTCCCCTGTGGATTCGGAAACCGGAATGTCCCTGTACCAAAAAAAAAAAATTTGACTAACTTATATATCTATCAAAAACATTTTATCCAAAAACTATATATATATATATATATATATATATATTATTCAACTTATAATACTTTTAATTATAAAAAAATTACATAAATTATTAAATAATTCATCAAATACATAATATAAAATATTAATTTTTTATTAATTATATAAATATTTTCTAAATAATAAATATTTCAAATAGTTTATTAAATATAAATTAATAAATAAATATATTCAATAATATAATATATTTTGATATTTATTACATTATTAAATGTATTAAATAATATAGTATTATTTATTTATTTAAATATATATATATATTATTAAATTTGTACTACTTTTAACATTAATTAAATAATTTATATATATTATAAAGTTTTTGATATAATAATTAAATATTGACTAAACATTTAAAGATATTGTATAATTTATTAAAAATTTATATTAATAAATAAATATATTGAATAATGTAATAATATTTTATTATTTATTACATGAATGAATAAATCTTTTAAATAATAAAATGTTATTTTTTATTTATATGATTAATAATAAAATTCATAATAAATATTTTAAAATATAAATACTACAAAAAACTATAATTAAATAAATTATATAACCAAAAAAAATATAAATTTTTTATTTATTAATTTTATTTAGTTTTAGTTAATAATTAATATTATTTTCAATTATATAATACAATGAAATATATTTTTTATAATTAAAAATAAATTAAAATTATATTATATTATTTATTTACTTATTTACTGATTTCTACTATTCTATTAAATATATTTATTTATTATATTATTAATATATTTATTTATGTAGTAAATATATTTATATAGTAAATATTTATTTATATTTATTAAAATATTTAATAAATTTATTTATTATATTTGTGGTATTATTTAATATATTTGGTTATTACATTATATAATATAAATTGATTAAGTAAATACTTTTTAATATACATATAAAATTTAATTAAATATATTAAATACTTATTTAGTGAATATTTAATTAAATATAATTTATTTAGTTATTATTTATTTAAGATATACTTATTTAATATCAGGAGCCTTTAATATATTTATTTAGTTATTTAATATATTTATTATTTTATATATATATAAATTAAATATATTATTTAGTATATTAATTTATTTAAATATTAAATATAATTATTTAGTATATATATGTTATTTATTTAAATATGTTAAAATGAAATTACATTATTTTAAATTAAATTATTACATAATAAATATTTATTTAATATATACAATAACTAAAATCTAATAATATAAATTAGTATTAAAACAACATTAATGATGATAAAATTCTAATTAAACAAGGTAAATAAATGTATAATAATATTTATGTTGTTTACTGTTTTTTTATTTCGTATTTAATACATATTTAATAAATAAACTAGGTATTAGTCATATAAAATATATATATTGGATAAAACGTTCTTGATAGATGTATTAGTAAAGTCAAATTTCTAACAGAAGTTGTGTTCGGTCAAGTGGCTCGTAAGGCCTTTTAAATGTCCATCACCCCGGGTTCGAAACCCCTTCTCTTCCATCATATTTGTAATTATGCCACATAATCCACCACATAGGCATTAGCCAGCAAGAAAAAAAAAATAATAAAGTAAAATTTCCATAGGCCAGTCGGTAAAAGTAACATGCTTTTGTCGGTGGCAACACTAAATCTCATGTTCTTTTTTGCATTTACGGAAAGTGTTCCAAAAGTGACTATCGGATGAGACCAAACCTCAAATAAATCTCCAATTTTTCTTTCCCCAATACACATCTCTACTTAGAGCTTAACTAAACACAATAGTAGTACATTAATCTCCCATCATATTTACACTATATTACGAACACTTCATATACCAACAGTGGTATGAGAGCCCAACTCGATGAGTTGTTGGACGAAACTATCAAATATCCTATCCAAATATCTTTCAAACCCCTACAATGACCATTTCTCAAAATTGCCATCAAATACCAATTCCTATTTTCTCCGGCGAACATTATATTTAGTTGGTCCTTAAAATGATGACTATTTTATGTCCTGATGTAGCAAAAAGAAAAGGTACACTAGACCGGTCTGGCAGGTAGCTCGGTTATGTCGGGCTAGGAGAGCTCTACTATGTTAGAGGATAAGTTGCCCGGTCAAGTAGCTCGTATACATGATTAAGGAACCAACCGACCTAAGGAGATACGACCTGGGAACCTTAAACTCAAGGAGCACGACAACAGCTTACCTCGACGTGTCGAGGTCATATGGTCCGAAGACAGGTCAGACCTCATGAGAAAGTCAGGTCAGACCTTAGGTCTGAGTATATTAGGACGAAGTCAGGTCAGACCTCATATAGGTCACAGCAGACATGTCAAAAGTGAGACACAATGACCTATGGGTTGAAACAATGAAGGGGAAAATCATAATAAGAAGGAAATAATTGCTCGCTTAAAGGACTCTTGCCTAGAATGAGACGTGGTAAGGTAGGATGTAGGATCTGGTTGGATCTGTTGCCTAACAAGGACTCTCTTGAGCAGCAAAATATGTACTCTATATAAGGATGACATGTTCTTCTTCATTGAATATCGCATTCTACTCACACATTTGTTTGTTATGTTTTTGTGCTTATTTTTATGTGATTGCTTGTGTTATTGAGTCGGTTTTAGGTTCGTTTTAGTGTCGTCCGGTCCATTTTGTCGCATTTTGTGTATTTTTATGTTTTCTCTTTCATTTTGTATTTTGGCGTACTTTTTTGTGTTTTTGGGTTTAATTTTCAGGTTCGTTCCGAGGGCGAAAGGAAAGAGTCGAGCTAATTTCCGAGATGAGCTTTCCAAAGTCAATTCCGAGTACTTGGAGCCATTTCGGACGAACCATCATCAATCGAGTATATCGCGTCCTTAGTCAATGCCCAACGCTGCCCCTCTGCCCCGCTTACTAGCAAGCACGCACCATGCCCCGTGACCGCGCACGCATTCGCACGCTCCGCACTACCGCTGCCCAACGCCCGCACACGCTACACTGCACTGCCGTCACTCGCGTGCTCGCAAAAACTGTTGCGAGGTCGAGAGTGCCGCTCCTCATCGCCCCGTGCACGCCGCGACCTCGCGGACGCTGCCACGAGCTCGAGAGTGCCTAGCCTATGCCGCTAGCGCCCACGCGGAAACTGCCGCGACATCGAGAGCCCACCAGCTGCAACGCACCACACGCCGCATCCCAGCCATTCGCATGCCCGCGACCAGCGAATATGCACGCGAGTTCAAGAGTGTCTCCACACCCGTGCAACCGTGCCAACTGACCAGCGCGAGCTCGCGAATTTCGCAGCTAGCTCGAGAGTGTTCCATTTTAATGTGCGTGTTTTAGTGTGTGTTTGTGGTGTAGCTATATAAAGACATCTTGCTTTGTATTTTTGAACAACCCTCATTTCCCAACTTTTAAGTTGGGAAAATCCTCTCTATTTTCTTTTTTCCTTTTTTTATATTTTGGTTTGGAGCATATGAATCAAGTTTTTCCAGCGACATTGTTTCGAGTAAAGTTTCGAGCTTTTGACTCCGTTTCTTCTTCCAAGTGCGTGTAAGAGTGGGTACTTAGTCTTAAGCCTCATTACTTTGTATATCTTTGTTTGCTTTCGTGAAAATTGATATTGTGCTTGTGTTGGTTGGAGGAAAAGATTGAATCTTTGGATCAAGAATGCTTGACTAAGTGTGAATAGGAGTTGAATGATTGCTCGTCTTGTGCTAGAGCTTGGTTTAGCTACCTAGGGTTTTAGCTCGCATGACAATGTTCGGTTATTTGTGCGTGTTTGATTATAGTGACTCCGGAGAACCAAAATCTCTCTTTCCCCCTTGATTTCTCTCATCTTCTTGCGTGTTTAGTTAATTGTTTTCAATTGCTCTCATTTCGTAGATTAATCTAGTTTAAATTCAAACCCCCCAAATTTGCGAGTAGAATGTTTAGGACCTTTTCGGTTGTGTGACTTAGATGACTAGGTAGTGAACGAAGCTCCGAAGAGCCTTCCTTTGAGAACGACCCGAGTCGGGTAGCTCGTTTACCACATGCCCAAAAATACTACAAACAAAATGGCGCCGTTTCCGGGGAAGGCGAGTAGGACGCCAAGTTTAATATCTAGTTGTCGTTTGTTTCCGTGTTTCTCTTGCTTTTTGTGGATTTTGCTTGTTTTTGCGTGTTTCTCTTGATTATTTGCTTATTTTTCATTTCTCTTGCTTTTGCTTTGTGTGTTCGTGTACATATCATGTCGTG